ACTACTATAGCTATATAACTAAACATTTTTTATTATATAAAAAACTTTGGCTTATTATTGATAAAGCCAAAAAACAATCTTTTCAATCTGATACTATACTTATTACTTACTGGCAATATCAAATTAAATCACAATTTACTTACTTATATCTTCTTGCACCTATTCAATCACATATATATCCTGATTGTTTTCTTAATTTACAAATAATTAATAACAAATATACAATTACTATTTTTACTAATCTTTTAACTTAGTTTTTGGTCAAGTTAATACAAATAACAAAACTTTTAACTTTAATGCAAATTATTTGGACCTTTTATACTTAGTTGCAATTAGATATCTTACTCAAACTCTAAGCCTATCCAATATTATCATTTCAATATACTTAATCTCAACTATCTTTGAACTTTATACATTAACTTATAAACTTTAACAAATTGCTAATTACAACATTAACTAACAAGAACTTCACTTCTATATTAATGGCTCTGTTATTAATTTGGATACCTCTTAATGCTCTATAGGCATCAGATAGATACAAGTTGACAATAATTCTATATTGCATACATTTCAGATACAAGTCAAACTTTGGTCTTGCTTATTCAAATTAGAACTTATTGTTATTTTATTAGCTCTTATTATTGCTTCTAGAAACTGTACTATAAATATGTACACAGACTCTCAATTTGTAATTTCTAAATACCAAAGTTTTTTAAATTCCTTTATTACTTTATTATATATATATATATATTATACTTTTTACTTTAAAATATACTTGCAACTTTATTAATTTTTATAAAATTCAAATTCTCTTTTACAAAGTTACTATTCATCAAGATAATATATACAATAATTTAGCTGATCAACTCACATGCAACTATTATAATCTGTTATATCTTATTTTTATGTCATATAATATTTATAATACAGTATATATACTTATTCTTAATAATTTTTTTCTAAAGCTTCCAACTTATTACAGTATTTATACAATTTGTTATATACATAGTTATGCTCTATGGATTACTCAAAATCACTTTCATAAATAGGAAAAAATTCAAATCAACTAACAAGCCACCTAACTGTATAACAACAACAATTAAAAAATTGCAAACTTCTCACATAGCTTTTAATCATCTATTCTTAAGTCCTTTAAAATTAAAATTTTACTAGATAAACTTTTTGCTTTATATACTTTACACAAATGTTATCACTTATATCTACCTACTTGTTACCAATGTAATTACACTGGCTCTTACTTTTATTAGATAACCTGTTTATTTGATCAACTATTAAACAATTTTATAAATGATTTATTACAATATACTCTTAATATTACTACTCCCAATACTATTTTAGAAATTATAACTAACTTATATTATTAAATTAAACAACTATACTGCATGTTCACTCACAATATACTAGACCTATCTTCAATTTTCTCAACTCTATTAGGCTTAGTACCAAATTAAATTATTACAATAGTTGCAAACTTATTATCTATAAAAATATCTATAACACTTATTACTAAATTTTTACTTCATCTTAATCAACAAATTTATCACAAAATTTAAATTCTCTACTATATTTTAAGATCTACAATTCATTTTTCTACTTATAATTTAATTTTCAATTCTGCTTTGCAATTAGTGCAATCTTTTTCTCTTAATACTATTAGGTCTAAAATTAATTCTTAATATATATAATAGATTAAATATCAAATTAATCTCTTATACATTATTACTAACACCTAAATCTAGAAAAGCTTTGGCTATTCTAGTTGGTTTAGATTGCAGATAAATTAGTCTAAGCTTCTATTCTTGCTATAATATTTTAAAAATAGATTTAAACTTTATATAAAAATTTTAGTTAAATATTTAATAAAGATAAAAACATAGTCTTATCATTAATATTAAAAAAAAATGGCAATCTTTTTTTTATTATATAAATATTCTATTTTTAAAATTAATTTATAATAAACCAAACAAAAGGTTGTTTTATATTATTGTAGTATTATCTTATAAACTGTTTTTTAGACAAATTTGTCTAGAAATTTATAATTGATCTATAATTAAGCTATTAAATTATATTAAATTATAGTTTAAATCATAATAAATATAGTTAAATTAATAGTTTAAAAGATAATATTTTAACACAATATCATTTTGGTATCTAGATACAATTATTATTATATTTTGTCATAATAATATTACAGTTATAACACTACAACATTATGGTTATAGCATTATAATTCAAAAAATTATAGCAAATAATATGACATATATTAATTTGTTAAATAAATTTTATTACTAATTATAATTATGCATACTATACATACTAGCACATCTGTAATTTGTAATAAGTTAAGTCACTAATTTCAATTACTACCTTAAATTATAATAAAAAATTATTGCATTTAGTAATTTGAAAAACTTATTATTAGTTAAATATATAAAATAATTTGATCATATTTGGTTATTCTTTATTTTTTTGTAATTTTATAAATTAATTTTTTTTATTTAACATAAGTAAAGTAAATAAATTAAAAGTTTTAATAACTTATTGACTTTTAATAAAACTTATTGTAAAAGAAACTAATTTTTAAATAAAATGCAGATTATACAAATTTTAATATATTTTTTAAAAAAACTGTAAAATAAAATTAAGAACATGATGAAAATGATATTTCTAGTATTATATCATTTTTATTATTAATTTAAACTACCAAATATTAGACTAACATTATGAATTATATTATATAAATTTAAAGATCAATGTATTATAATAAAATAAAATCATCTGAATATTTGTCTTTATGATTTTAGTTATAACTGTTCAATCAAAAGTGCTTTAAAAATATAAACTTATAAATAAATAATATAAAATAAAAAATGATTTAGTTTTATAAATTATTTTTATTTAAAAAAGCTAAAATTAAATAAAAAAGATATCTTTTTAAAAAAAATGTATTGATCAATAACATATTTAAAAAACTGACAAATTGTTTACTTTGTTTAAAATAATTAATTTTAAAATATTTTAATTTTTTTAAATAAATATTTGTTAGTTAATATCAAAAGCACTTTTGAATTTATAAATTATTTTTTTTAATAGTTTATAATAATTAAGTCTTATTCTAAAAATATAATAAAATAGGTATTTAAATTAGTAACTTAATTTGTTACAGATTACAAATATTATAAGAGACCTAAACCAAGGGCATAAAATAAATCCTCTTAAACTAAGATCCTAAACCAAAGCTAATCTGTAAGATTTCATATATGAAAAAACATTTAATAAAATGCTATATTAGGTTTAGTTTAAGACAAAGCTTATTAAGAACAATTGAATAACAGTTTTATGTCATAGTTATGTAAATAATTTATTATAACTTGTAGATTTCATCCTTTCTGATACTCAATTTAGTTAGACTATGTTAAAACCTCTGCTGTATTTCTCTTATATAAAAGTTTTGTAATTTCTTTAATAAAAAAACAATAAAATAAAGATTGAATATTAATAAAAACATATCTTAAAACAAAGATTTAGTAGCAATAAGGTCTTTGATTCTTAGACCAAATTTTTTATATTTTTTTTTTAAGTTGTCTTATATTTTTGTATATTATATTTATTATGTTTTAACTATGAGAAACTCAGTAGTTTCAAATCTTTTCTCACAATTTGATATTAACTATAAGATGAACTAAAGAAACCCAATATCAAAACTAAAGTCTTGAGACAAGAAGCGAGATAAACCTGTCTATAAGTCATAACTATAGAGCCTGATCTGGCAAGAAATAAGACCTGTACAAAAAGAATAAAATATCTGTAAATTAAAGTGTTGTAATAAAAGTTAAAACTAAAACAAAATAAAAAAAAACATAACTGCAAAGTAAAGAAAAGGTCTAGGTAATCTTAACTTCTTAACTCTGTACTCCTGACCAAAGTTGTTCTTTAAAAAGAAAACTTGACTGTCAAGTTCTTTGTGATTTTATATATAAAATACATAAAATAAGTCTAGAAGAATTGTAAGAGACAAAACATGACCTAGTTGTAAACATATGGAAAACATGACCATGACCTGAACCAAGGTCCCAAACTGAAGTTAAGTTGTAAGATTATATATGTGAAAGAGCATTTAATAAAATGCTATGTTGAGTTTGACTTGAGGCAAAGCTCATTAAGAACAATTAAATAATAGTTTTATATCATAATCATGTAAATAATTTATTGTAGCTTGTAGATTTCTCCCTTCTAATACTCAATTTAGTTAGGCTATGTCAAAACCTCTGCTGTATTTTTCTTGTATAAAACTTCTGTAATTTCTGTTGGCAAAAGATAATAAAGTAGAGATTGAATATTAATAAAGACACACCTTAAACTAGGATCTTAGTAGCAGTAGGACCTTGGTTCTCAGACCAAATCTTCCACGCCTTTCTTTTGAGTTGTCTTGTGTCTTTGCGTTATGTTTGTTATGTTTTAACCATGAGAGACCCGGTAGCCCCAAATCCGACCCTCGCAATGTGCACATTACTAGACATTTAATGTATGGTGGCGCAGATTGCTAAAGAGCAAATAAATTTTTAGGCTCATATATAACGAACATAGAGACACTTCACTCATCATAAAACAATGATTCCGTTCTTGATATAAGCGAAAACTTGCATTTGTTATATTTTATCAAATCCAATTTAAACACGTTAACATACCATTTTTTTATATAGAAATTATACGATAGTCAAAACCAGTAAGATCAGGAATAAACATTAGAAACAAGGCATGGCTTTAAACTGAAACGGAAATGCATGCACATACACATATACGCCTCCTTTTTTAGCATTGTTCTGGGTGCTACACAAGGCACAAGGATTAATCATCCAATTAGAACCAAGATTTGTACAGGGCATTTAACTCCGAGGATAACCATACTTTACGTTGTACGTTGTACAAACTCCGTTCCTGGTATAGATATTTGTTCAAAAAAAAAAAAGTGAAATCAAATGTCGACTCTTTCCTTGTCCGGTAGTAAACGAGGTGCATTTATAGTGTTTGAAGGTTGTGACCGTGCTGGGAAATCTACGCAAACAGAAAAACTTGTTAATTACTTAAATGAACATGGATTCGCAGCGGCCAAAGGAAAATTTCCAGGTATAATAATAAGCATTACAATGATATTGGTAATTAATATAATTAACATATTTATGTTATAGCGAGAAGTTTAGAACCATTAGGACCAATAATTGATGACTATTTAAAGAATGATGTAGAATTTTGTGATAAAGCATTTCATTTTTTATTGTCAGCAAACATATGGGAGCAAGAGTAATGTTATTTACTGAACAAAGTTAGTGTATTTTGTGAACATTACTGATCGCATATTAATTCGTTTATAGGTCATATGTAAAGAATACTATCCTCAATGGCAAAACATTAGTTATGGATCGATACGCATATACCGGCGTTGCATATTTGACTGCCAGGGTAGGTTAGACTATTTATTATCATTTCGGATTAAATAATTAAGATCGTTAATATACTCATTTATCCAGGGTTTGGATTTAAATTGGTGTAAAACTTCATATATTGGTTTACCTTCACCCGATATTATTTTTTTCATGGACATGCCATTGGAAGAGTCTGTAAAAAGGGATGGATATGGTAGTGAAAGGTTTGACAAAATTGAGATTCAAGAAAAGGCAAAAAATGCATATTTATCAATGACAGGTCCAGAATGGAAGGTAAGCACGTAATTTCAAGACAAAATCTATTTTATACATTACTGCATTACTAATTTAAAACTTTAATGACTAGATATTAGATGGACGACAATCAATTGATGAACTTCATGAACAAATTGTAAAAATGTCCTTAGAAGTAATTCAAAAGTGTGATGTCATGCCAATGCAAAATTTGTGGAAAAATTCTTGATCAAAGCATTATAAATTTGGTTGAAACAATTATCAGTTCATAATTAAATAAAATAAAATATTGTTCAAGCAATTATTACACGTTCTTGAAAAAACTATATTAGGGAAATTTTTAAAATTTTCTTGTAATTTTTTTTATCATGTTTTGTTAGCATTCACTAGTATTTTAATGTACACCCTGGACGTGGGTTTGAGACCCTAGATTGAGGTTTGAGACCCTTGGATATGTAAATATAACGCTTGTCTAAGAAATATTACAACTCTTTCCACTTTGCTCACAATAAAGGAACTCTCCTCATTCGGCTTCGATGATAGTAAATAAGTAAATTCGTGCCATATATCTATCGTTTCATAAAGATAATAAACTATATTTATGTTTGCAGCTTTGTGCCAAATTGGTGCCGAGAAGACAAAGACTCTCCCAGATCGCAACAATGTTAGGTAGTCTAGTCTAAACCAATAGACCACAGTTAGTCTTAAGATCGGTCCAAAACTGAAAAATCAAATTTTCTCTCGGTCATAAGACCAGACCAGTCGTCTTAACCTGATCTGGGTATGTTTAAATTATTTAAATCGGGAAAATATAAATCATCAAAGATCGGACTAGACAGGATCAAAGTAAAAATAACAAACTGGACTAGATTAGGTTAGTAACATCCCTAAAGCAGGGAAGTTAAGGGTATGGGGACGTAGATCATTTTTATATAGTTATGTATGTTATATTAAAATTTTCATCTAAAATTGATATATGCTATTAATAAAACTTTTTATTTTTTAATTAATTAATAAAAAAAATTTATAATATTATAAATAAAATTATTTATCTATTATAGTAAAATTT